GATTAGCTGTGTCTGCGACTGAATGGTGAAGTTGATAAAGTTCATTTGTAAATATGGTGACACGACTGATCTATACCTGGGATTGAATGCATCATACCATTCAACAGAAGGGGAGGAGAGATCAAGTTAATTAGATCCAGTGGCCTCCCCCACCTCCTATTCTCCTATTCTCACTTCTTAAGTGACTAATTACTATTTTTGGTTACAGTCATAACCATAATTTTTAAAGTGGTAGAGGGGTAAGCCAGCAGAAGTCCTCGGTCAGATGTCCAAAAGCTCCAGCTGTTGGTTATCATATGGCTAAAACCCGCCTCAGGAAATGTCCTGTTTCCTGACAAACATTATACCTGCCTTCAGTGACTGATGCCAAAGAGATGTTCTTAGACTTTTTTAATGTATTGAGCGGTGTTGTACAGTTTCTACCTACTACATTAATACATACAGCTGTAAGCTGTGTTAATCTCACCATTGATACAGCAGGACGCATGAAAATGAGTGTTATTCTTATGAAAGTTCAAAAGACGGTGCAATCTACCCCGTAATTTATGTAGATAACTCGTTCAGAGAACAGACAGGTTGATGAATATGACACGTGTGCAACAAGTGTTGCACACGTGTCTTTTGAGTGTATTTAGTATATTTTTTGTAATATTTTGTTATAACGGATTTAGCATGCATATTATATATATATATATATATATATATATATATATATATATAATATATATATATATATATAATATATATATATATATATATATATATCGTGCGGAATACGTAAAACTTGCGATTATGGCTTAAAAAACAACGATTTTCTTGCCGAATAGGGCAAGCGAAAATTTGTGTATGCAGTAATTTTGCAAAAATCATTCTGAACCCAACGATAAAAATGTTTTTCAATGTTTTTGTTTATTGTTAAATTGTTGTAAACATATCTAAAATATATTTAATTGGATTAGGCTAAATTAAATTGCACTTGTTATAATAAAGTTAGATAAGTTTTCTAAGTTTTTGGGTATAAAATTATTAATTTTTACATTTAAATTAAAAATATACATCTTTAAACGTAAAATGGATTATTAGTGAGAATGATGTACCAGACTTATATTAGATCCTTAAGCGATTGTATTACGCCTGCTGTTAATACCCCTCAATGCAGAATTAAACCTTCAGAATTATTCTTGTTAGGTAAAAGGACACAAGTGCAACTAAAGTGACATTTTACTGTGGCAACGTTTCGCTCTCCAGGAGCGTTATCAAGCCTTTACAAACAATACATGTATGTATAATGCTCGCCAAGGCCAGGATCCTGGCACGGGTCTTAATCTTGCAATGACCCGTCTCTGGCTCCCGAAGGAGAATGGATTCTTCATTGCTACAGCATATGCTGCTCAAGTACTGTTCTGGACAGTTCATCTAGTGCGTCTCATAAGCAACTGTGATTTGGTACTGAGGTTACTCCATCTCTGTTGTTTCCTGAGCTGGGGACTGGGCTTTATCCGCTCTGAGAATCTGCAGATTCATGGTATCCACCGTCTCCTCCTTGGTCAGTAAGCACACCCTCAGGAGTGTGCTGACCATCTGCCGGAACATGCTCTGTTATTCCGTTGAGTTGATTGTGTTGTAAATAATATCCGTGAATGTTTTGATGAGTGTTACGAGATCCTCTCTGGTGAGGGCCTGCGTTGTCGGTGGGTTCGAGGTAGTGGATATCTGGGCTGTTGTGGTCTGTGGGGACTGCTGAGGGTTGTATTTCTTCATTGTGCGTACTGTGGCCTGTTGCTGTGTGCCAAGGTGGGTAGCCGGTTTCTGCTGGTGAGGTGCAGGCATAGCCAGGGAAGTCTGCATAGTGGCTGTGCCGGGCAAGGAGTGCCTGAGTTGTGTTATGGCTGGTGGGGGCTCGTGTAGTGCCGTCTGCTGATAGCGTTGACCAGATGTTTCTTCGTGGAGGTAGAGGGGCAGGAGGCTCCTGTCCATGACCCCTGGTTGAGGCTTCGAGGGTCGGAAATTGAGTTGGGTGGCCTGATGAGAATTCTGCAGTATGGCAGGATTCTCTGCACCCATCGTCTGCTGAAAGTGATGCTCTGCCGTAGCCTGCTGCCTCATTATTGGCGTCTTCCAGGCCTCATGAAGTCTAGCGAGCCTCTCGGGGCATCGAAGGTTCCAGGCATGGCGTTTCTGCCTGCAGTTCGGACATCGTGGAGTGGGTGGCGAAGCATTTTTCAGCTTGGTGATGCAGTCCTCGGTAAGGTGGCGCTGGCTACAGACACCGCAGATTTCTCTGTTCGGACAGAGTGCACCCAGGTGTCCGTAACGCTGGCACTTGAAACAGCGAACTGGTTGTACCGTAAAGGCCCTGACATAGTACCTGTCCCAAGAACCGAGGTCCTGCTGGGATGGCAGCGGTCCCACATGCTGTGTGAGGACTTGCCGGGTTTGTGCTTTGCCTGCCGTCTTTGCCTTGAGACGTTGAGATGACACCACACTGGGTGTGCTGCTACTGACTCGATGGGCATCATCAGCGGGTACCGCATCACTACACCCTTGGTGATCTGCCGAGAATCCAGTTCCTCCAGGGTGAAGGAGCGGTCTGTCTCCGTGACTCTTCAAGGTGGTGCACATTTCCTTGTTGAGAGGAATCAGTATTGGTTCTTCCCTCAGGTTGAATCGTATCTTGAACCTCAGTTTGTGCTGTGATTCCAGGTATGTAACGACGCCATAGTGGGTTCTGTGTTCCCCGTAAGACTTTACCTTGAATCTGCCAGGTGGGTTGAGCTGGTCTGCCTGCTTCTTGGAGGAACGGCGCGTCTTACTGTTGTCCACATCGATTCATCCTTCCGTATTCGCTGGCTGCATGGTTGGAGCTGTCAGATCTGCAGACTCTTCCTCTTCCTCTGATGACACCGAGTGGTCTCGCAATTTCTTCGCTAGGATTGCGCCCCACATTTCCAAAACTACCTTAAAAGTACGACGTTTCGCCTACATGAAGCTTGATCAAATATTTGCTAAAGCCTCGTGTAAGTGAAACGTCGTACATGATAAAGTTCTCTTATTGCTGTACCCGGATATGTATCATTGTAACCTAAACCGTTTTATATTCACCGTGTCATTAATGGGATAACAACTAAAATTTTGAACAGTTCTAGATGTGAGCTTCAATCCATGTGGGTAACACAGTTCTGTAATGGTATTTAGTTTTCTTTTACTTGCATGAACTGTATCATTAGAGACAAGAGCACTTTTCTCTCCATGAAAGATGTATTCACATGATACTGCTCTCAAAATACCTCTGCCCCAGGATACATATAACCCAGTAATCCCTTGCATAAATAAACTTCAAAGGCAACTGCTCAAGAAAAAAGACTTTCAACTGAATCTTTGTAGTAAAAATGTTGAGAAATGAACCAAACAGTGCCACCACAAATCACACTAAATGTCTGGATGAAACAGCAAATCCAGAAATGTAAGAGAGACATTAGATGTTAAATTTCACTTACGGCAACAAAGATCTGTTCATTTAATATTGGGTTTCTTAAAGCACATTGTCTAAAAAACTAGGACACCAGTTGTGTCCCAGCGGAGTAGGGCGATGTAAATAAGAGGAGATGCTTTCGTCGTCATTCATTCAGTTATTGTCTTGTCGGAAGAGTGCTGGCATCACGCTTCTGATGACCCTCAGAAGCACAACATCCTAACCCCCTTCTTGATAATACAGTCACTGTACCTCCCAGTGCCTGTAATCCTTTACCTTGGTTACCTGCAAAGTGGACTACCACAGTATATATCGCATAACATTTAGTAATTAATGTCACAAATTAAATACCGTGCTAGTGCCATATGTCCATGGATAAGCATCCAACGACGTTATCCATCCCATTATATATATATAATATATATATATATAAAATATATATATATATATATATATATATATATATATATATAATGTGTGTGTGTGTGTGTGTCTTGGATAACCTGTGGTCGCAGATCTGGAAAACGAACTTCAAAGAAGAGAGGTGTACAGCCACGCACTCAGGCTAAACAATGTCAAAAGCGACTTTGAAAAGCTTTGAAACTCGCTGCTTTTAGTGAAAGGTTGGTGGAGTAGTATATAATTCATGGGGAGAGGGGGGGGGGTGGGGGGGGGGTGGGGGAGGGGGGGGGGAGGGGGGGGTCCTGAAACCCCTGGGCCTATGGGGTTAAACAGCGCCTGGGGAATAGCAGACCCCAAGGTTTGATCCAGGGCAGGGATAAGGTGGCTTCAGTTCCTCGTATGTAATCAGTCCATCAGTCTTTTTAACACTGATGGACTGATTACATTGACTCCAGGCTGAGGGACTGATTACCTTAAACTCCTTCTGATCTTCACCATTCTTCTTTATATAGAACTGATAAAGATACCCAAGTGTTGCACATGTGTCTAATTTATCAACTAACACCTAAGAACATAAGAAACAAGAGTACTGCAGAAGACCTACTGGCCCATGCTAGGCAGGTCCAAACCACACCTGCTCAAGAAGGAAGGAACACTGCAGCAGGTCTACTGGTCTGCTGCAGTGAACTATCCACTGTTTTCTGGTTTGTGTATTGGATTGACCAAAACACCGGTATTGCTACACGTAGTACTTGTAATGTAATTTTATCTAGCAGCAGAGAGACAGTTAATGTTCTTTGAGCTGACAGCAGTGAGCAACTCAAGTTACCTTCAGTTGAGGGCAGTGAGGAACTTAAGTTACCTTGAGCTGAGAGCAGTGAGGAACTCAAGTTACCTTCAGCTGAGAGCAGTGAGGAACTTAAGTTACCTTGAGCTGAGAGCAGTGAGGAACTCAAGTGACCTTCAGCTGAGAGCAGTGAGGAACTTAAGTTACCTTGAGCTGAGAGCAGTGAGGAACTCAAGTTACCTTCAGCTGAGAGCAGTGAGGAACTTAAGTTACCTTGAGCTGAGAGCAGTGAGAAACTCAAGTTACCTTCAGCTGAGAACAATAAAACGATAGACATACCTTGAGCTGAGATTAGTGAGACCAGCAAGCAGCAAGCTATCGTCAGCATGATGATCCTGCCTTTCGATGAGTCTCGTTTTCCTTACATTAACACCTGAGGGAGAGAGAGTGCGTGAGAATGTGAGAAAGTGTGAGAGAGAGTTTGTAATGAGACACGATCATCTGAAAAAGAAAGATATTATGGAGGTGTATACATAGATTCGTTGCTCATTCGAAAAAAAACGTTCCCGTGAATAATTCTGCTTGGACTTCCTACTCTTTTCTGCAACATCGCAAGCTCCTGATGTGTTGATTACAACACGAAAGGCCTAGAGCTATCATTCAACTCTCCCTGTGGTTGTTTTGCATCTTGTATCGCTTGTTCGCGAAACACGTGAAGTTATTTACAAAATATCTATCTAAAACTAGGCGAAGATTTGAACCTAGACATCTCACCCTCTGCCTAGGCAGAGTCGCACTTTGATACCTTAGACATTGCATAACTTTGAGTGGCAAGCAAAGACTGAGAAATATGCTTGCAAATAATTTCGCTGACTGTAAGCATACCTAATATATCCTGCGGTGGTCATCATTAACGTGGATAAGAATGAAATATCTTGGACCATATGTATATTAAAATGGTATACCATACCGACAGGTTGGTAGGTAAGACACATAGGCAACAGTTAGGTATCTTTATCCCGAAAAGTTTCGCCAACACAGTAGGCTTCTTCACTCAGTCAGACACTGCAACACAAGGGTATCTTGGTACAGAAGAGAAAACACCATGGACAACGTTTTCAAGTGAGAATTGTTAGATGTAAGAGGGACGTGACCTCTAAGTGGCTTCATTCTCCTTCCGACAGTATATAAGTCTCCATACTGTCGCTTGTTCATTCTGATTGTTTCAGACTATGAAACAGAACTTTTCTCCAGGCTGAGGGACTGACAACCTCAAATCTCCGACTACAAGGGCGATGGACTGATTACATCGTCTTCACACCTCTACTGCTCTTGCCTACTTTTGTACTCAACTGAAGAAGCCTGCTGTGTAGGCGAAACGTTTCGGAATAAAGTTGCCTAACTGTAGCCCATGTGTCTTACCTACCAACCATCTTGGACCATACTTGTAGCTGCTGCTGCTGTACCAGGCTGTGGGAAACACGTGCTAGCTTCTGTTGCCCACCCAAAATTATGTGGCATCTGCAGCCAAGTGGTCAATTCATAAATATTTCTCTAAAATGACCTGGAAATAAAGGAACCATTTTCTTTTTCTTCCTGTTGTATTGACTGCCTATGAAAAGTCACGGAGAGAATGGTAAACAAAAGGCTCCCCTTTTTTATTAATCACAGCCAAGGCAAACTGAACTAAACAGTTTTAACCTCCTTATTAATAAAGAGGCAACATAATATTCCCCAACAACATCATGAAGTACATAATAAAACGACATGGAAATGCATTTTAAAGTAAATGTGTTTAGTAACTTGTATCGTGATCGAAGTTTATTGAAGCGAAGTATCGGAATATTTACACTTGGTCATTATGGACAATTTAGAGACCAAACTAAAGTTGTCTAAACATGTGAAAGTTACCCCAGATTTTATTGCTGTCAAGAATTACTAGAACATAAGAACATAAGAAAGAAACACTGCAACAGGCCTACTGGCCTAAAATTATTGTTTTTTTCTTCGATATGCAACGATACGTATTGAACACACTTATTATAAGCACTATAGAGCTCTAGCTGTGGGTCATGATATGACTTATACCCTCGTCAGGAAACACTTGTCCTGTGCCCTGACAGACCTTACCTAGCCTAAGTTCAAAATCAAAACGTTTTGCCATTTAGCGCCAGGAGTGGTGGAGGCTCGATACTCCGTCCTCTGATCGTGAGAAACACTTCATATTGTTTCATACTATGGAACAATGCTCTTCTCCAGACTGAGGGACTGACCACCTCAAAACTTTAAGGGTGATGGACTGATTACATCGTCTTCAAGTATCTTCTGCTTCTATCAACTTTTCTGTACTTGACTGAAGAAGCCTACTGTGTAGGCGAAACGTTTCATAATAAAGATACCTAACTGTTGCATATGTGTCTTACCTAACAACCTGTCGGTATTTTATACCATTTTAATGTTCAGAAACACTTCTGAACTGTACTCACCGATATCCCTCAAGATTATTAAGAGACCCGAGGCTTCCTAGAGGAGGGAGAGGAAGCAAGGGGGGTATGAAAGGTTAGCCTGGGGAAAGGTTACCCCGGGGAAAGGTCACCCTAGGGAAAGTCAACTAAGGGTAGCCACCCTGAGGTAGTCTGCTGCTGCTGCTGTTGATCTTCCTGCTTCTGCTGCTCCTCCTGCTGCAGTTGTTTCACCTGCTTCTTCTCCTCCTCCTCCTACCACTACTCTTCGAGTACTAAGGACAAACCACACAGCCTCCTCTTCCTATCCTCATTCGTTGAGGGTAATCCGCACAAGCTTAACGAACAAGAATTGATGGACTGCCAACTACAGGCTCACCTAACGACCTACTGTGACTAGCAGCGAAAACATCGGGAATCACCTTGTTCAAAAGGTGACAATGGAAATAAGTCACTCTGACTTTTTTGGGTTATCCCAGGTTCTCTACACATATGCTGCTATGTATGACAATCTATGTAACTGTATTTGTGTATACCTGAATAAACTTACTTATTTACTGACTCAGGATCGCTGATACAGTACTGACATCATGTCAACAGTGGCAAGCAAAGTATCAGCAGAAACACAGGAGTGAGAGGGCCAAATAGTAGGTGGAAAAGGAGGGAAACACCACAGTACACCAGCCCCTGGCGAAGAGCCACACTAGTCCCAGACGAAGAGCCACACCAGCCCCTGTCGAAGAACCACACCAGTCCCTGGCGAAGAGCCACACCAGTCCCTGGCGAAGAGCCACACCAGTCCCTGGCGAAGAGCCACACCAGTCCCTGGCGAAGAGCCACACCAGTAGCTGACGAAGAGCCACACACCAGTCCCTGGCGAAGAGCCACACCAGCCTCTGGTGAAGAGCCACACCTGCCCCTGGCGAAGAGTCACACCAGTCCCTGGCGAAGAGCCACACTAGCCCCTGGCAAGAGTCACACCAGTCCCTGGCGAAGAGCCACACCAGCCCCTGACGAAGAGTCACACCAGCCCCTGACGAAGAGCCACACCAGCCCCTGTCGAAGAGCCACACCAGTCCCTGGCGAAGAGTCACACCAGCCCCTGTCGAAGAGCCACACCAGTCCCTGGCGAAGAGCCACACCAGTCCCTGGCGAAGAGCCACACCAGTCCCTGTCGAAGAGCCACACCAGTCCCTGGCGAAGAGCCACACCAGCCCCTGTCGAAGAGTCACACCAGTCCATGGCGAAGATCCATACCAGTCCCTGGCGAAGAGCCACACCAGTCCCTGGCGAAGAGCCACACCAGCTCCTAGTGAAGAGCCACACCAGCCCCTGGCGAAGAGCCACACTAGTCCCAGACGAAGAGCCACACCAGCCCCTGTCGAAGAACCACACCAGTCCCTGGCGAAGAGCCACACCAGTCCCTGGCGAAGAGCCACACCAGTCCCTGGCGAAGAGCCACACCAGCTCCTAGTGAAGAGTCACACCAGCCCCTGGCGAAGAGCCACACTAGTCCCTGACGAAGAGCCACACCAGCCCCTGTCGAAGAGCCACACCAGTCCCTGGCGAAGAGCCACACCAGTCCCTGGCGAAGAGCCACACCAGTCCCTGACGAAGAGTCACACCAGTCCCTGTCGAAGAGCCACACCAGTCCCTGGCGAAGAGCCACACTAGTCCCTGACGAAGAGCCACACCAGTCCCTGGCGAAGAGCCACACCAGTCCCTGACGAAGAGCCACACTAGTCCCTGACGAAGAGCCACACCAGTCCCTGACGAAGAGCCACACTAGTCCCTGTCGAAGAGTCACACCAGTCCCTGTCGAAGAGCCACACCAGTCCCTGTCGAAGAGCCACACTAGTCTCTGACGAAGAGCCACACCAGTCCCTGTCGAAGAGCCACACCAGTCCCTGGCGAAGAGCCACACCAGCCCCTGTCGAAGAGCCACACCAGTCCCTGACGAAGAGTCACACCAGTCCCTGACGAAGAGTCACACCAGTCCCTGGCGAAGAGTCACACCAGTCCCTGGCGAAGAGTCACACCAGTCCCTGACGAAGAGTCACACCAGACCCTGACGAAGAGTCACACCAGTCTCTGACGAAGAGTTACACCAGTCCCTGGCGAAGAGTCACACCAGTCTCTGACGAAGAGTCACACCAGTCTCTGACGAAGAGTCACACCAGACCCTGACGAAGAGTCACACCCCGTCCTCTGACGAAGAGTTACACCAGTCCCTGGCGAAGAGTCACACCAGTCTCTGACGAAGAGTCACACCAGTCCCTGACGAAGAGTCACACCAGTCCCTGACGAAGAGTCACACCAGTCTCTGACGAAGAGTCACACCAGACCCTGACGAAGAGTCACACCAGTCTCTGACGAAGAGTTACACCAGACCCTGACGAAGAGTCACACCAGTCTCTGACGAAGAGTCACACCAGTCCCTGGCGAAGAGTCACACCAGTCTCTGACGAAGAGTCACACCAGTCCCTGACGAAGAGTCACACCAGTCCCTGACGAAGAGTCACACCAGCCCCTGACGAAGAGTCACACCAGTCTCTGACGAAGAGTCACACCAGTCTCTGACGAAGAGTCACACCAGTCCCTGACGAAGAGTCACACCTGTCCCTGACGAAGAGTCACACCAGCCCCTGACGAAGAGTCACACCAGTCCCTGGCGAAGACCACACCATCCCTGACGAAGAGCCACACCAGTCCCATGACGAAGAGTCCACACCAGCCCCTGACGAAGAGTCACACCAGCCCCTGACGAAGAGTCACACCAGCCCCTGGCGAAGAGTCACACCAGTCCCTGACGAAGAGTCACACCAGCCCCTGACGAAGAGTCACACCAGCCCCTGGCGAAGAGCCACACCAGTCCCTGACGAAGAGCCACACCAGTCCCTGACGAAGAGCCACACCAGTCCCTGACGAAGAGTCACACCAGCCCCTGACGAAGAGTCACACCAGCCCCTGG